CACTTTGAACGGCTCAGCTTGAGCATTGCTGATCTGCACCACACCGTGTGGGAAAACTTGGTTGACCGTGAAGGGTCCCGACCACCTCGAACGTAGCTTGCCCGGAAAGAGTTGCAGGCGTGCATTGAAGATCAGAACACGATCACCTACCTGAAACTCCTTGGGGCCCCTCAACCGAGCGTCGTGGAGATGCTTGGTTCGCTCCTTGTAGAGCAGGGTGTTCTCGTAGGCGTGGTAACGCCCTTCTTTCAACTCCAGCAGTTGCAGCTTATGTTCAGTACCTGCAACACTCAAATCCAGACTTAGCAGCTTAAGGGCCCAGAAGGCCTTGTGCTCTAGCTCTACTAGCAAATGACACACCTTCCCATAGACAAGCCTATAGGGTGAAGTACCAATCGGGTTTTTGTAGGCTTTCCTATATGCCCAAAGAGCATTATCGAGCTTGGTGGACCAATCCTTGCGGGACTGATCCACCGTCTTTTCAATTATTCTTTTAAGCTCCTGGTTCGTCAGCTCAACTTGACCATTCGACTGGGGATGGTAAGCCACCGACACTTGATGCTTAATACCATAGTGAGAGAGGAGCTTAGTGAATTGACCTTGAAAATGGGTTCCTCTATCACTAATGATTGCGTGAGGTGTCCCGAATCGGGAGAACAGCTGCTTCACAAATGAGCAGACCCGTCTTACATCATTGGTGGGCATGGCTTGAGCTTCTGCCCACCTCGAGACGTAGTCCACTGCAACCAGTATGTACAAATGTCCAAAGGATGGAGGGTATGGGCCCATGAAATCGATGCCCCAAACATAAAAAATTTCACAAATGAGAGAAATATGTTGGGGCATCTCAACCCGGGAAGAAATGTTACTTGACCTTTGGCAGCGGTCGCACTGTCGTGCGAAGGTGTCTGCATCCTTGAAGAGTGAGGGCCAATAGAAGCTCGACTGTAGCACCTTCCGCGCCGTGCGGTTTCCTCCATGGTGACCTCCAGTAGTTCCTCATGGCATTGAGACAGGATGTCTCCCATCTCATGCTCCATGACACAGCGCCGAATCACGCCATCTGCTCCGATCCTGAAGATGTAAGGATTTTTAATTTTTAGGTAGTGCATTAGTTCGTGCCCAAGCAGCACATTCTCCACTATCTGGCGCTCCCGGATAAACGCATTCTGACCTTCCGACACAATTCGGGGGAGGAATGGGGCCAGTCTCTCTGTCATAATCTTGGTAATCACCTTATACACAAACTGACACAGACTAATAGGCCGCAATTGTCAAATGTTCTCCACGTTATCAACCTTCGGGATCAGTGTAAGCCAAGTACGGTTGAAACTGCGTAGAAGTTTGCCAGATTGGAAGAAGGAGCAAACCGCCTCAACCACCGAATCGCCTACAATATCCCAGAAGGATTTGAAAAACTTCCCAATGAAGCCATCCGACCCCGGAGCCTGCTTAGAGCCCATAGCAAAGACAGTTCGTCATACCTCCTCAGGGAGAACCGGCGCAATGAGCTGGACATTCATCTCGTCAGTGACTTTTCGAGACAGCGGTAAGGCATCTACCCTGGCCCGCATATCAGACACCTGGTTTTCCAAGGTGAATAGGGTTTGATAAAAATCAGTGGCCAACTCTGCCTTCCCCTTCTCCTCCGTAATCCAATCCCCATCATCATTATGTAATCCCTCCACAAAATTCCGCTTCCGCCTAGCCCGAGTGACCGTATGGAAATAGGAAGTATTCTGATCACCTCTCCTCAACCAACGCACCCGCGACTTTTGCTGCCAATATAGTTCCTCCGCTTCCCATTGACGACTCAGTTCACTCTCCAGAACCCGAACCTCATCCCAATTTACCGGAGAAACCTGCTTAATGCGGTCAATCTCCGATTGGAGGGTTCTAATATTCCGAAGGGAATTAGTCGTTCCAACTCTACTCCAATCGTATAAAAGATGGCGAAGTCGCTTCAACCGGGTCCATAACTTAAACATAGGGGACCCCTCCACTTCCTCCTCTCGCCAAACATAGCAAACCATGGCCCTAACCTCAGGGTTATCTGCCCAACGAGCATCAAAACGAAGCAAAGGGCGACAGTGCCGCGGATAGGATTTGTCAGACAACAGCAAAGCCTTGTGGTCAGACCCCTGGTCCGTAAAATGTTTGACAATAGTCTCTGGGAATTGGTCAATCCAAGGCTGAGATTAGAGGGCACGATCTAGCCTTTCACGAATACAAGCCTGGCCCATTCTTTTATTAGTCCAGGTGAATTGATCACCCTGAAAACCCGGGTCATGGAGCCCCAAATCATGAATAAAGGTGTGAAGGGCCAACGATTGCCCCACATTCCACGGATTCCCCCATCCTTCTCCCCAGAATGGAGGGTAGAGTTAAAATCACCAATCACCACAAACGACAAATGAATACCCTCACAAATATGGCGAAGGGTGACGAGCTGGTTAGCACGAAGCGACTCAACACAACTAATGTAAACGCCAACCACCACATAAGAAAGATTGCTTTCATTAATACGAATACAAATTGCAAAATCCGAATGAAAAAATACCGAAGCATCAACTCCGGGGGACCAAGCTACAACTAGACCACCAGATGCATCAACTGCATCCACGAAATAACAATCAGAGACTTGAAAACCTAACCCCCGCAAACGACGGGAGACGACACGCCTACGGGATCGAGTTTCCGAAAAGAAAACAAGATCCGGCTTATTCGACCGAACCAGACCTACAGCAGTTTGGAATGTGAGGGAGGGTTCAATTCCTCTCACATTCCACGCCAATATCTTCATTTATCTCCCTGGGACAATTTCCGGCTGACTTCCTCCACCGATATCAGCTCCTCATTCTCGACTTCTTCCACAAACTGCTTCTTCACCGTGGGATTTTCCTCAACTGCACCATAAATTTTTTCCCAAGAGCGCTTCCTCCCTCCCATCCCCAGCACCAGTGCATTCGAGCCATATTCATTTAGGGGGTGCATTTTTTGTTTTTATTCGTTAAGAAACTTTGTTGCGAGCTGATCGCTACTAGTCATTTTTATTCATAAGAAGCTATTAACAAATTTATAATACCTTGTTTCTACCCTGTGATTGTCTCGGTAACAAGGCATAGGACCACCTATCCATAGGGGATTCATCTTTTTTCCATGGTAAAGGAAACCGTACCGGAAGTCATATCGGATTCGCTAGTGGTAGGGTATTTTGTGGTACCACCGTGGTTCGATCGTTTCGTACCGGTAAATATCGTTTTTATAATAGTAAAATATTTTTTAAATAAAAAAACCATATCGGCAAAATCAAGGTACCGTTTCGGAGAAATATAGGAGTGTACCGGACTAAACCGGATAATATATACTAAATAATTATAAAATAACAATAAATACCAAAATATATTAATTGAAATAACTAAAAAATAAAATTATATCTCCCCAAATCCATCCCATCCCAATCTCATCTTCCCATCTTAATATTTAATTAATTAATTCCCACTCTCCTCTCTCCCTTTGGTTTGCGAGGACGAGGAAGGAGGGATCTTCCCCAACTAATTCCAATTTCCAACTCTCCTCTCTTCTCTCTTTCTCTTTCAGGTTTGCGATGCAGGAGAGATCTTCCCCAACTAATTCCAACTCTCCTCTCTTCTCTCGTTTGCGACTAGTTGCAGGAGGATGTTTTCCATATTTCTTCCTTTTCTTCTAGGAATAATACCGATTGGGACAAAAGAAAGCATATCGATCGGAGGCAAGCAGGCTGGAGTTGCATGTCGAATCCCTCTGTTTATCCGTCTTCGCCGCGTGAAGTTGCATGCCGGGTCCGATCAATCGAAATCGGCGTTGTCTGTTGAGTACAGCAAAGCCACCATCCATCGCTTCTTCTTCTTCTGGATACTCTTCTCACAGCGGCAGCGCACCGCCGACAGACATGACGCGGCCGTTGAGTAGCGACTTTGGGGGAAAATTCCCCTGTTTTAAGTATCGAAGGTTCAAACAAAATCGTCCTCTGCCCTTATCGCCGGTCGCCAGAGGCAGGGGAAGACGAAGGGCAGCTCGCCGGTCGCCAAGTCGCCGGACTACTGGAGAAAAGGAGAAGACGAAGGGCAGGCTGCCGGCGCGTTCTCCTATTCACGGAGCTGTCGTCTGTTGAACACGAGCAGGCGGTCGCCGAGACGCCGACTCGCTGGACTGTGCTGGAGAGTGGAGTCTGGAGATCGCTCGGCGACGTTTGCATACAAATTTCATTACCGCCGGTCTGATTTAAACCGGACGGTATCTCGGTTTATGCCGGTTAAGCCGATTAAGTCGATCGGCGCGGTAGAAAGGAGGCTGGTGGGTGCCGTTTCGCCATTGGTCGGATTTCTGGTTTTACCGGTTGAACCGGCCGGTACGATCCGGTTTCCTTTAACATGCTTTTTTCTAGTGGATATATGCATTTTGTACTTCATTAAATTGTACTTGTTGTTAAGAGTCAAATCGACGTACACATATTGGGTACAATGTTAATTAATCAATTTGTATCGAACATAGCAAGTTGTGCTAAAATCCATGCCCTCTTGCAGAAAACGAGGTAATTAATTTGCTTATTTGTCAGTTTTTTTTTTCTAACTTCCACTGCACTTTGTGATCATGTTCCGTATCCACTGCTAATCGCAAAATCAAGTGTTTATTTATTAACTACTTGATTAATAATATGAACTTAATTGTTTTGGGATTAGCAAGGTGAACCTTTTTGTAATGATTTGAGAGTTCAAGACAATAATAATAAATAAATAAATAAAAAGTAGAGCTAGCGGGTTGACCATGAAGAAACGAAACAACACCATTTTGAAGCATCACCTTCCTCGAAGTAATGCTTCTATGATCTAGATTTTTGCTCTATTGCTTCTGTAATAATTGGGTAGCTCAATTAGTACGATATTGTCCGCTTATGCCAAGCCCGCACGGTTTTACTCTTGGGTTTCCTCCCCAAAAGGCCTCGTACTGATTGGGCTTGGTGGACACTAATATACATTGCGACTGCTTGGTATATTTGGAAGAGAAGGAACTTAGCCGCTCATGGGGGAAGGATTTGGGAACGAACTTTCTTCTGGCAGATGGTGCAGCAGGGTGCAAGGGAGATAAACTCTTTGGCCAAACCAGTATTTGAGAGGACCCCTACAAGAAGCATAGAGATGTGGCAGCGACCAAATAATGGATGGGTGAAAGTGAATGTGGATGGAAGCAAAATCAGTGAGCCGGAGTCGGTGGCTGTGGAAGGTGTTCTTAGAGATGACTCTGGAAACTGGATAGCTGGGTTCCAAAGGCGGATTGGAACATGTGATGTGACTGCGGCAGAATTGATCGCTATAAGAGATGGTTTGTCGTTAGTTTGGGTGTTCGGGTATAGGCAAGTGGTAGTTGAATCGGACTCGCTAGTGGTCGTACAACTCATCCGTAATGCAGACACCCGTTTCCATCCCCTTGCTGGAGTTATTGAGGGTTGGAGGCAGTACATTGACAAGGACTGGCGATGTAAGCTAGCTCACATTCCTAGGGGAAGAAACTCTTTAGTAGATGGGATGGCACGAATGGCACATCAAGCACTCAACGTGGAGATTCTCTTCTCTACTCCGTCGGTGGAACTCCAACATATAATGCAAGTAGAGGCAGCAGGACTGTAATAACCTGCTGTTATTCCCATGTTTATTTAATTTTCCTCTTCACCAACAAAAAACCAATATGGTACTTGGATTGTCTCATACCAATCCTCCCCTCAAGACTGATGGAAACTCGCACTTTAGTATTTTGATTATTTGGAATTATTTTCGGTTTATTGTCATTTCGGATTATTGGGATTATTTGGGGTGATTGTGGGGGAATAATTATTTGAGGTACCATTCGGGAATTCTGCATTTATATAAAATACTCTTGTACGTGGGATTTACCACTAAGCAAGATTAAACCTAAACCTAATTGCCTAATTCTTGTCTCTCTCTTTCTCCCTACCCGCCGACCCCTTCCCTTTCCCTCTCAACTCGGCTGCCGAGCAGCACTTCCCCTTCCTCTGCTTCTTCCTCGTTCAACCCCAATTCCCATTTCCCCTCCATTTCGATTACCACAAGGATCAATCCCTAGTTGATCCCTTCTAATCCCAATCCCTAGATAGAACCCAATTTCCCGGGTTCTATCGTTTGGTATCAGAGCCTCGTTCTTGATCGGGCAAAGGAGAACAGGATGGTGTTGACTAAGTCGATGATGCTGCGGAAAAGCTGCAAAAGTCGCACAAGAGAAGACGACCGCGGGAGGAGCTGCGAGCCAGACCAGTGACGGAGAGGAGGCGGTGGCCGCGGCGACTGCGCCGCCGAAGCCAACCCAGGCCGCCACAACGCCGCCCAAGATGGCGCAGACAAGGCTTCCACCGCCGGCGGCCAGCAAAGGGCGCCAAGAGGGCGTGGTGGTGGACGTGATGGAGGAAGAAGACCTTCGCACCCTCTTGCAAAAGGTGCTATTCGGACACACTCGGGATCAGGAAGCGCGTCAGGCTGACTCTCGGGAGATTTGGCGGGATATAGGCAAGCTGAGGGAGTTCATGACGCAGCGGCAAGGGCAACCGCCGAGCCAGGCCGAGCCCAAGGCACCAGCGGCGACCGAGCCGACGTGGCGGCGGCGGAGATCGAAGGCGCGGGGGCGGCGCTGGCCGCGGGTTCCTCGTTGGCGGGAAGCAGCGTCGCGGCAGTTGGTGTGGCTCGCCCAAGGCTCGGCTCGTCCGGGCCCAACAACGAAGTGGGCCTGCTACCCACTCCCACGGCCCAAGAATAGGCGGCACGCAAGGGCAAGGGTAAGATGTCGGGTTATGACACGGAATGGCCTCTGCTGAATGATGGGCTGGAGATAGTGGGGGGATTTCCGAGAGGCGCCAATGGGCTTGGGTGGTTGGGCTTGGATGACGAGCCCGAAGACGACGAGCTCAGCATAGTGGACCAGAGGGGCGGCGAACCGGGTAAGGTGGCCGACCCGGCCGCGCGGATGGGGTCCACTCCTGTTAGGAATGGCAATGGGACAGGTCTGGGGCGGGTTTCTTGATACCCAGACCTGCCCCATGGCAGGTCGGGTAATTTATCACGGATCGTGGGTCGGGGCAGGTCGACCCATTGGGTATAGATTATATATGAAAAACATTAGAAATATTCGTTATTTTTATTATAAGATCTAGAAAACAAACAATATTATGATAAATGTAGTTAATTTCTTGGAGAAATTGAGGTTTTCACTAATTTACAACTTTATTATAGCTAAAAAATGATGTAATAAAAGGAAAATCCTAAGTAATTTGACTAAAATTACATATAATTTAGGAAAGAACGGGTCGAGAATGGTCCGGGTCAGGGCAGGTCGGGGCGATGAGAGTACACATGCCCCCCTCCCCCGCCTACGGGGCGGGTCGGACCCACCCCAAAATAGGCCAAACAGGTCGGGTAAAACAGGTCAGGTCGAAATTGTCATCCCTAACTCTTGTTGGACGGACCGTGGCCGGTTGGACCATTGTGGACGGACCGAAGGAGGTCGATCCGAGCCTGGGTGGACCGGAAAATGGGCGGACTGAAGGGGGTCGGACCGATCCCTGGTGGATCAGCGCGGGTCGAACCGAGGTGGGTCGGCCCCGGCCCGGGTGGACCGACACTGGTCGGCCCGAGGTGGGTCGAACCGAACATCGACCGAATCCAACCAACCAACAGTCAAGAAGGGCGGACAGCAAGGGATCTGCATGCTAGAGAGGTCCGTATGGGGCACCGGACGCTCCTGGAGGGTACCTGGACCAACAGGGCGGCTACCCGGGGTACTACGACACAGGAAATCCGAGCCGGGGCAGGGATTCTCGCAGGGGCAACCGTGGAGGACACCGGGTGATGACAGGTATGGGTCGTATTTCATACTTATGAAGGAGCTGATGGTATAGTTTTTTGGGCCAAACCTCCTACCATTGAGTTTCCAAAATTCAATGGGCAAGAGGACGCATGCCTCTTGTTGTATGCAGCTGAGCGGTGGTTTAAGAACCACCCGATTCCGGAGGAGAGAAAGGCCTATCTAGCATCCTTTTATTTGGAGGGCGACACACTTCAGTGGTGGGAGTGGATGGAGAGATCCTACGCGGCAGCCGAGACCTTGATCACCTGACCCATGTTTCAGGAGGAGCTCCGTTACCAGTTTGGGAAATTGGAGGGGTGGGCAATGGATCAGCTCGCGAAGTTGAAATAGACCGGCACTGTGGTCGATTATCACGCGGAGTTCTTCAAGTTGGGTAATCAGTGCAGTGGAGTACCGGAGGACACACTGGTTGGGCTATCCATGGCGGGCCTCAAACCCGAGATAGCAGCGGTGGTCAGAGTATTCGAGTCGGATTCTCTGAAGGCTGCTTTTCGTCTTGCATGTCATAAAGAGGAAGAACTCCCAAGCTGGAGGAGCACTATTGGCCGTTACACGCGGCCGAGTGAAGGAGGAGGAAACAGCGGGGCTGGTGGCAGCGGGGGAGGACCAGCGGCGGGAAGTACAGTAGGAGCTAACACCGGATGTGGTAGCACCGCGCCGGTGACCAGAGTAGGGCCGCGGCCGATACCGAAGGGGTTTGTGCGGCTCTCCGTGGCTGAGATCGAGCAAAAGAGGCAGGAGGGCAAGTGCTTCAATTGTGATGGTCGGTTCACCATTGGACATCAATGCGCGAAGCCGGACCTGATGATGCTCATAAGACGATGGGAAGACGAGGCAGAGGACGTCAAAATTGGCGAGGAGGAGACCCGGTGAGCTAGAGGAACAACCTTGGGGACAAGGTTGCTTTTCGAAGAAAGCGGGGATGATGGAAACTCGCATTTTAGTATTTGGATTATTTGGAAATATTGTTGGTTTATTGTTATTTCGGATTATTGGGATTATTTGGGGTGATTGTGGGGGATTAATTATTTGGGGTACCATTCGGGAATTCTGCATTTATATAAAATACTCTTGTACGTGGGATTTGCCACTAAGCAAGATTAAACCGAAACCTAATTGCCTAATCCCTCTCTCTCTCTCTTTCTCCCTACCCCCCGACCCCTTCCCTTTCCCTCTCAACTCGGCTGCCGAGCAACCCTTCCCCTTCCTCTGCTTCTTCCTCGTCCAACCCCAATTCCCATTGCCCCTCCAATTCGATTACCACAAGGATCAATCCCTAGTTGATCCCTTCTAATCCCAATCCCTAGATAGAACACAATTTCTCAGGTTCTATCAAAGACAAGGACCCTGAACTTCGTGTCCCCTCGTCAGCGATTATCTTGATCCGCCAGACGCCTTGTATCGATGGGCTTCTCGGTACAAGGACTTTTCCAGACGTAGAACTCTCTTTGATCCGCCAAGCCCAAACGTGGATCTCTCCTGGATCCACCAAACCAGACGCAGATCTCAAATCCCGAGGTCACTAAACGAGGTCGTCGGTGCATTGCAGAGCCTAAATGGAATCCTCCGATATGCAAAAGTACTAAAGGGGCAAGTGAAGGTGGTCTTCGCCTGATCCTATGGCGATATCGAGATATGGAAGTACCCAGACATGCCATCCAGGAAGCCGTAGAAATCATGTCCAGCCAACCTTTCCAGCATCTGATCAATGAAAGATAGCGGGAAATGGTCCTTCATGGTGGCATCATTCAGGAGCCGTCGAGCCGGTAGTCGATGCAGACACGCCAGCTGGTCACAATCTGCATAGGGATTAGCTCATTCTTCTGACCATAATCATCCCGCCTTTCTTTGGGACCACCTGAGTGGGACTGACCCACTTGCTATCAAATATAGCAAAGATGATCCCAACATCCATCAACTTCACAATCTCTACCTAGACCACTGCCTCCAAGTTAGGAGTAAATCTCTGTTTGTTGTCTGACTGGATTAACCTCATCCTCCATTAGAATTATGTGGGAACAGAAGGATGGGCTAATGCCTCTGATTTCAGTTATCTTCCACACCATGCCCAAGGGTAATTCTTCAATAGAGCCACCAGACTGTTGTTTTTCTCGGGGTTCATTTCGAGATGATAATCACCGGGAGCTTATTCCCATCCCGGAGAAATGCATACTCTAGGTGAGAGGGGAGGGGCTTAATCTCCAGCTCTGGTGGATCCTCCAAGGATGTGGCGATCCGAGCCGAGAAAGAGAACGACTGCTCTAGCTCCATGAGTTGCTCCTCCAACTGCAGCTCCTGCAATGTCTATTTCCCCTAGCAAAAGACAGCGCTCGAGAAAATCATTAGTACCCGCACACGTGATGGCGAGTGCGGTATCGAAATCGGCAACCACATAGCAGTCATCTAAATGATCATGGAGCTAGGGGTGTTTCATGTTATTAGACACAGATAAAGTGATTTGTCCAGCCCCAACCCTCAAAATTATTTTACCATCATTAACATCGATAAACGCCTTGGCGTGGCGAGAAAAGGTCTTTGACACGCTAAAACACAACACCAAACTGCGACCAAGTGTAATCGGAGAATGAAAATGCAGTATAGTGGAATCAAGTAATAAATGTCAACCTAGGGTCGAGATGTACTGCCTACTCCGTGATTATCTATTATCTAGGGGAAAAGTTTAGTGGGAATGAGTTTGAACTAAAGTAGAAAGAAAGCAGTAAATTTTCTGATTTTCTGAAGCAAGAGAAGAGTC